AGTTGTAGGAGTTATTTTTATATCCCGAGTATTAATCTCTTACCAAACTATGATTTGCAAATATTTTATTCATTCTGAGGGTCATCTTTTACTCTAGATGATAATGCATGAAAGGTTTCAATTTTGATGAAGATCCAGTTTATATTTTTTCTTTTGTTATCTGTGTTTATAGTGTTGTATCCAAGATATCATTGCCAAATGTAATGTCATGAAGATTTTTCCCTGCTTTAAGAATTTTACAATTTTAGCCCTTATGTCTAGGTCTTTGATTCATTTTGAGATAATTTTTGTATCAGGTGTAAATGAGGGTTCAACTTTCTTTGGTTCGTGGTTGTCCAGTTTTCCCAGCACCACTGGTTGAAAAGACAGTCCTTTCCCCATTAGCCCCCTTGTTAAAATCAATTGACCGGATATGTAAGGGCTTATTTCTGGGTTCAACTGACAAATTTTCCTGTTGAGACTTCCAAAATTGGCTAATAACATAACTTATCACCAGGTATCTTCAACCACTCTTACATCATGCCAAATATATAAATCTAATAGCAGTCCAATTCTAGAATTAATATAAAAAATGCTTTGTTATTCAAAAACCAAACTGAAGCTTTCCATGGTAAAATTGTTAGGTAGCAGCTAGGAATGAGTGTCCAGGGGGGAAATAAAGGCACGGTCCTCACCATTACAACCTAACAAAGAACTCAATACAGGAGGCTAGAAGCAAAAGGAAGACGTGTCTCACCAACTGACTCAGCAGTCCTGACTGAGCTCAGTCTAATAAAACTGCTGGGTGTCCCGAGCATTACAAGCAAAAAGAGCACAGGGGAAGCAGAGTCCTTGAGCCTGTGCAGAGAAAAGGGGGGCTTCCATAACAATCTCATGAAGATTGCCTGGTACAGGAAGGGGGCCAGACTGTTGGGAACCACCCTGCCTGGTTTCAGAAGCTGTAACCACCCCCCCACACCACCCCAATGGCTAAGGCTGAGTGAGTGACCTTCGGACCATAAGCCACTGAGGAGACAAAGCTTATCTCCCTGGCAGGAGTGCTGCTTCTGCTCCTTTCACTTTATCCATGACTGGCCCCCAATGCTTGATCAGTTAGCCAATGACAGGTAAGATTCCTCAAGGGGGAAACAACCTAAGACAGGCACGATCACAGGGAGGCCCCATGGAAGGATGGAGAAAGGGGGTGATGGACCCTCGCCCCTGGGCTTTGACATAGCCTGAGTCCTCATTCTGTCTTTGAGAAGTCTCCTAATTTCTTGGCTATCTTGCCTCCTCTGCCTGACTTAAGCCTGAAACAATTACAGAGGGTGGGCTCCCTGAGAGATCAGGCCTGAGAAAAAATATGTAAAATCCTGTAAAACCTGCTTTGCTAAGAATGCTCTTAATTAAATGATAAGGGTCCTAGAAGGAAATGAATTTGTTTCCCAAAGTTTTGTAGCCCTTTAGCTAACAGACCCTGACTCAGAATAGGCCCTCAGAGTTCTTTGTATGCTATCTATTGTTTGATCCTTACTGCCTGACAATGATTAATGAACTTTACCTGTATTCCTATGCTACTTGAATCCAATAAAAGCCTGTCCAGGCAAGGTTCGGTGCACTCTCCCCTTGAGAGAGTGGCTAGGCCACTCCAAGTTGCTCCCCCCTTGAGGGAGTAACCGTGCCGCCCCTTTTCCTCCACAGGACTCAGTAGTCTGTGTGAATTTGTCTCATGTCTATAATGCTGTGGACACTGCGGGCTGGTGTCCGCATCACCAGTCCTTGAGATTCAGTGCTGGGAAAGGAAGCTCCTGTAACAACTTCACAAACTAAAACAAAGAGCCTTTACCAAGTGAGAAAGAAGGCCTTTGTAGCTGTACATTATTCCCAAGGAGGAAGGAGGGGAACCAAGAAGCCAGCTAAGGCACATAACCACTTGTAGGCCAAGTGAAGCAGTCTGGCTTTCTCCCCTGGGTGTCTGGGTAACTAAGGGAAGCAGGGGTCTCATAGCCTTGAGACCAGGTCCGATAAAACTGTTCCCATAACATGAAGTGAGCTCACATGTGCAGAGTTATGTTATGTTATGTAATGTTCCAGCAGTTTTCCGACTTTGTTCCCCTCTAGTACTTAAACAGGTAAAGACTCCCTGCTGGGGGCAATGATGGGAGACATGCAAGTGGACAGGTGCCATGATGGGTGACATGCTGGGGAGCAAGGACCATGACGTGTGACATGCAGGGAGACACGCAGCTTGCAGCGTGCGTGGCTCACCCACCCAAGAATAAAGGCATGCCAGACATCCCATGGCTCCACGAATATTTTTCTGTCTGCACAAATACCATGAACCTGCCTGGCCTTGAAGGGTCACAACACACCCCTAAACCTCAAGTGCCGGCATGCTTAGATTAACTAAGTATCTACTTGTAGCCTCAGCTCAAGTGTATAGAACACACTCACTAACTTACTCACAACTTTATTTTCTCTATACCTGCAACATTCACACTAGCTGGGTGGCTGCTTGCGGCTTTGTGCTTGTGTGTGTTTCATCAGTAAACTTACTGTCTCCTTTCCACTGTATATGTTGTTGCTCACTTGGATTCATCTCTTGTGGAGAGACAAGAACCAAGAACCAAGGCAGGGAAAGAAGCCTCCTGACCCGCGTCTCTTTCTCTACATCCGTCACAAAATACTGTAACAGCTGCCACTGAAAAGTAAAACAAATCATTCGATACAGGACACCAGGAAATAAGAGTTAGAGTGATAATTTGAAGACTCTGAAAAACATGGAAAATGTTATATATGAAACAAAATCGGAACACAAAATTGTACCTACATTATTATCATTTTAACAATGTAAATGTATGCATAAATATGAAACAAATGAGAAGGGAACACTGAAAGGAAATGTGTTTTGAGGTAATTGAGTCATGGGAATATTTTTTCCTTTTTACTTTTTTGTCATGTTTGCATGATACAAATAGGAGAGAATGTAGTCATTAATTTTAGCAAAAATTCTTGTGGAAATTATATGATTAGTCTTAAACGAGAACACAAGCACTAAAATCATAGAGGTACAGTTAATTTTTATTAACTTAATTTTTAATTCAGCTTGGCACTAGAGTCAGCATAATTATCGTAATCAAGCACTTTTTATGTGCCAGGGACTGTACTAAGCATCTAACACAGACAGGTTCTTCTAATGCTCGCAACAGGGACTATTCTGATCACTTCATAGAGGGTTAACTAGGTTGCTTTATGGTTGCAGGCTTACTCAGTCATAGAGTCAGGGTTTCAGTCTAGCCAGCCTGGCTCTACAGCTGAGGGAGGTAATGGCTGGTACGGTAATCTTCACCCAGCAAACATAAACTGGGATGACATTATAACTCTAAAACCTGGAACCTTAAGGAGGCAAAACATTATACACATTTCCTCCTTATTACTCTAGTACAGCAATTTTCAACCTTTTTCGTGGCGTACATAGACTAATTACTAAAATTCTGTGGCACACCAAAAATTTATTTTTTGCCAATCTGACAAAAATAGGTATAATTTTGGTTCATTCACACTGGACAGCTATTGTTGTATTGACTGTTGTCATATTTTTTATTTGACAATCTAAGGGAAAAGAGGTCAGTGCCCCGTACTAAACAGTCAGGCATTGCATGCTTTAAAATGCTTGTAGGCAGTTGAAAATCACTGCTTCACCATTGCAATTAGACATGGCGTCTGTTTGTTTTAAAGCTTCAAAGTAGAGATCTATGTCTACTTTAGAAGTGCATGTTTACAGTTGATCATGATGAAGTAAGATAATTCATTTTATTAAACAGGGTCTGTTGTTACACTCAGACTCGCCGTAACTTAGTTCTTTCTGATCTTTCTAATTATTTCTAAAGATCACATTGTACTCTACCCTGTGCTCAATAATCTTTGACAAAGGGCAACGCAGCTCTTTGTTTTGTTTAGTTTACAGCCAGTTAGGTACATGTAGGTGATGAAAACTGAATATACAGAAACTAGAACAAAAGAAGTAGGGGGAGGGGAACAAAACGAGCAGTTAAGGGACTGAGAAAAACAGGAGGAAACGGAAGAGGGGGCTAAATTAAACTGGAAAAGAAAAGAGTGCCTGAGTAGGAAAGAGGCTCGTTAGATCAGAATCTGCCTGTTTTCCTGAATTGTTGACCTTGAAAATATTCTCAGCTGGTTTACAATCGTCCGTACCTTCCACGCGACTCCATTTCTAACCATTCATCTCCATTGTTCGGAGTAGCCACAGCAGACATTTGGAGTTACCGAATTGCTGTCGCAGAACTCAAAGCAGCCTTTACTCCCTTTCTTTGGGTGTGGGGTGGCGGGGAAGGAGGGCTCAAGATTGCCTGTAGGAATGTTATTTCCTCAAACCGCTCCCCATCCTCCATTTATCTCGACTTTTATGGCTCTGGGATTTTCTCGGGGATTCCACGAAGATGGGGGCTGGGTGGGGCTAGGGTTTTGCGTTCCTTAGGCAAGCCAAATGTAGAAAAGCAGGAAAAGAGAGCGGGTCGCTAAGTCCGCCAGGCTGAAAGGTAGAAACTGAGTCAGAAGGGAAAGGGTGCCAAGCGAGAGGGCGAGGTTTCAAGAAACGTAGCGGTCTGACAGCTTCGCAGACCTTGCATGCCAGCCAGCTTACAGCTGGTTACCGTGGTAACTGCGAGATCCCGCGAGACACTCTGCGCCTGCGCACTGCTGCCAAAGGGCCCTGAGAGACTCCTCCCCACCCGCCAGTGCGTAACCCAGACGCTCAGGTCTGAAGGGTCTTTCGGATCCGTCCAGTTTGTGTAGCTTCCGCCATCCGCGAAGCAGTAAGCAGACTTTTTCTGTTGTGAGTGAACAAACGCAGAAGGATGAAATGTCAACTTTTGTGAGCATTTAGGAGGCGGGGCCGGGAGGGCGGGGGCTGTGCGCACGCGCGTGGCGGCTCACGTGGACCCGGCGCCTGTGACAATCGTGAGTGGATGGGGGTAGGGTGGCGGAGAGACTGGAGGGTCCACGCGGGTGGAATTGTGGCTGGGACTCGCGGGGTGCCGAGGTCGGGGGACACACAAGGTCTCCCAGGCCTAGTCGCCCCTGCCCGGCCGGCGTGTTTTCCCGTCTCTTTAGTTCATGCTCTGTGCTCTGTTTAGCGTCTTTGGGTGCCAAAGATACTAAGATAAAGCCCCATCTTGGCCCTTCAGTATTCCACAGCCCGGAAGTGGAGCCGGACAACAAAATAACTACATCCCGTATGTTCAATAATAAAGTACTGAAGGTCCTAGATACCAGCGCGGTATCCAAAGAGAGGGATTAACCCTGGGTCAGGACTGCAGCCTCTGGGAACTGGGCCTGTTCACCTTTTGCTGCTGGATCTAGAAACCGGAAGGCATCCCTGAGTCCATTCTCTGCTTTACTCCCAGTTGATCGCTATGTTCAGGAGATTTTACCTGCACTTATTTTAACTAGCCTGTATTTCTGTCCATCCCCTCTGCAGTTACTCTACCATCATTTCTTACCAGCACTTCTTCGGAGCCTGTTGTTTCCACTCCTGGCAGATGATCCTTACACTCCCAAATCCATAAGGATCTGCCATGCTTTCCTCATCCTGCCTCTCCTCTGCCTTATAAGGCAGTTGCTTCCCATTTAAGGTCTTCAAAGACCTTCACCATGTGGTTTTTACCTATCTTTCCTAATTTCTCACCACTCTCTAGCCTCTGCCCCAGTGAGTTGACTTCCTTTAATGCTGTTCCCTGGGCATTGTACTTGGGGTTCCGTTTGGTAGGCATTCTTCAGATATTTAGTTAAAGGCCACCTCTACCAGGAGGCCCTTCCTGACTCCCTCAACTAAGTCAGGCCATATGTTCCTTTAGTATCCTGTAATTCCCTGAACTGAGTGTTTTATTATGTTGTTACTGGGTTGGCCAAAAAGTTCATTTGGTTGTTTCCATAAGATGGCTCTAGAAGTGCTTAGTTGTCTTTTAACTTCATTCGAAACAGTTCTGTCAGATTGTATGGTGACAACTGTCATATCAGCATGCATTTAAAAAATTTATCAAAATTGGTGATTTTTGTGTAGTCATTTTAATATTGAAGATGGAAGAAAGCACACAACATTTTTGGCATATTATGCTGTATGATTTCAAGAAAAGTAAACGTGCAACTGAAATGCAAAAAAAGATTTGTGCAGTGTGTGGAGAAGGTGTTGTGACTGATCGAATGTGTCAAATGTGGTTTGTGAAGTTTCATGCTGAAGATGTCTTCCTGGAGATGCTCCACAGTCCAGTAGACCAGTCAAAGTTGACAGTGATCCAACTGACACCTTAATTGAACAAGCAACGTGATACCACTCAGGAGATAGCTGACATACTCAAAATATCCAAATCAAAAAAGGTATTTGTGAAAATGAAAAATGTGTCTTTTATTTTACAGAAAGTAGATGGACTTTTTTGCTAACCCAGTACCTACTTATATGCCTTCCTCATAGATTCACTGCTCAGTGAGGTCAATGAATTTTTTTCTGTAATACTTTACTGGTTGATACATTGTGGATAATCCAGAAATACTTGTTCAAGTGAGAAGCGGGGTCAGGAGGCTGAGGGTGGGAGTAATATTCCAGGCAAAGGGAATAGTATGCATGAGGACATTGAGATGAGAAACTGGTTCAGTGGTGGGGTGTAACGTGTGGCGGGGCATATTAAGGAGAAAGGCTGGTGGAGAGATGGGGACAGAGTGTGGTGGGCCTTCTGTGTCACCTTAAAGAGTTTGCACTTGATCCTATAGGCAGTAGAGGCCTTCAAGGCATAGCTCAAAAGGTATCTCAGCAAGAGCTTCCTTTTTCTCTTTTCCAAAGTCCTTATTTCTCCTGTACTAGTGAGTACTTTGTTTCTGGATTATAGGGCATGGAGATTTTGCTTATCTGAATTTTTTGGTTCTCGTCTCCCCCAGCTGACTCTGAAGATAGGAGGAGTTAATGCACACCGTGCTTTCTCTGCAGAGCACAGACTGTATTTACTGTGTTGTTTGAATGCTGACACACTGACTTGTAGTTTGGCAAGAGCTCTGTCAGATCATTTTTGTCTTGTCTCCTGAGCACCTTCAGTCTGATGCCAGCCTCTGCCAGTCACCCTTGGGTTTGCATGAGCTACTTCCTGATTCCCTGAGCTTGAGGGGAACATGGAGATAATGGGGTATGGGGAGGGCTGTGCAGTGGGGCTGGATCAAAGGCCGCAGATACTGAGTCTCCCTATCTCACAGATACTGTGATATGGACAGAAATGAGGTCTGACCTTTCACCTCATGGAGCTGTGGAGAAGAGGAGAGGTCCTGAGGCCATTTTTTAGGTCCAGTGTGGGAAGGCCTCCTGTCCCACACCTGCAGTTGCTAGTTCCAGTTCTGTATCACATTCACCCAGGCAACTTTTTGCAAGTCCAGATGCTATAGGCCTGTTCTCAGTGATTCCAGTTGAGTAGCTCGGATATAAGGACCAACTGTCTGATGTTTTAAAGGCTACAGATTATTTATGAGGTGCAGCCAGGATTGGGAGAGGCTAAAAACTTAGATTTAGAAACCAGCTGTGACTTGGAGCAAGATATTTGACCCGATGCTGTTTCCTCATCCACACATTGGGCAATTATACAGTTCTTTTGTGAGACTGAAGTTAATAGATGGAGAAAGTGCTGTATAAATTCTGACATTCCACAGGGACACTTGATTGTCAACATCAATAGACAGCCCAGTAAGTGGGTGTTTAATTGGAGAGGACTTAATTCTTAATCCTGCATGGGGCCTTTCAGAGGGGGGCAGGCATCAGTGGAGTGAATGAGGGCATATCTAGAATGAGAGCTCTGGTTACCTGAAAATAAGGACAGTTCCGATTCCAGACTTCTCCTGGGCTGCCTTATTTACCTTGAGTTTTGCCACATGGGTCCTTATGGTGGAACATGAGGAAGAAAACTGAGAGAAGAGAAAGGAATATGCAGTTAGCTCTGGGAAAGAGAAGCAGAATATGCCCCCAGACTACTATTTTATAACATTTTCCCAGAAAGGCTCCTTCTGGTTATTGTTCCTTAGTAGAATAGTGTCTTTAAATTTCATGACAAAATTTCCCTAGTTTTCATCCATTCCTAGCTGGAGGAGCAGTTGGCTAATTTAGGAAAGGGACTGTCCACCTGCATATGTATTGAATGTTTTAGGAAGGAAACACAAGAAGCTCAGGGTCCAGAGAAGGGGAGAGTACTTACAAGAGGACATAAAATGAAAGTGTCATTTGAACTTTAAATCATGTACATATGTTACTGTTCATTTTTTTTTTTAAATCACATCTAGTTAATTATAAAAGCAGAGGCTTCCAGGGCCCTCATGGATTGTGAGCTCTGTGTAGACAGACACAGGGACTCAGGTGAGTGGGTTGGGGACTTTTCACTGCTGACCCCAATGCCTACAACACTGCATGCATGTCGAATATTTGTTGAATGCACGAATGGAGGCCTAACTAGAGAGGAATTTGGGAAATGGTAACAAATCTATAAGATTAATACAATACAGTCATCAAAAGGGTCATTTTGAACAAGTAGAAATGTGGAACAATTTTAAGAAATAAAATTTCACTGTGATTGCAGTAATGCAAAACATTCATTGTATTGCCTATATATAAATAAAGACAGTCATATGAAAAAATGGGGAAAATTATTTAATCTTAAAAGACAGATTAAATGTATGGTCACATAATTGGTTCTCTATAATTAGGCTTGCTCTGGCCTATCAAGAACCAGGATGTTCTTAAGACATGCATTGCCAGTTAGCACTAACTTTCCTTTGTCATTTGCATCTTAGGAAGGATTTTCAGAATGGCTGCGGCTCCTCAGGCACCAGGGAGGGGCTCTGTTCGGAAGACAAGACCTTTAACTGTAAAGACGTCGTTGAACAACCCATATACTATCTGCTGGAGTGCTCTGGAGAGAGAGGATATGCACTTCATCTTACAAACACTTGAAGATAGATTTAAATCTGTTGGGCTTGAGAAGATTGAGGATAAGAGGAGAAATAAAAAGCAGCATTTTTCAAAAAAACAAGGCAGAGAGAAATGTAGAATAGATGTCGGTATGAGTGAGGATCTGGAGGAAAAACCAGAAGATAACCAACAAGTGTCAGGGTGGACTTCTGTCCACGTCAGGAAGCAGCTTGCCATTGGCGTTAATGAAGTGACCAGGGCTCTGGAAAGGAACGAACTGCTTTTAGTTCTAGTGTGTAAGTCAGTCAAGCCCACAATCATCACCTCACACCTGATTCAGTTAAGTGTAAGCAGAATGGTTCCTGCTTGTCAGGTTCCCCGTCTCAGTGAGAGAATTGCACCTGTCATTGGCTTAAAATGTGTCCTGGCCTTGGGATTCAAACGGAACACCACTGACTTTGTCGATGCAGTAAAAGCTATAATCCCCAGAGTACCCAGTTTAAATGTACCATGGCTTCAAGACATAACTGCGGACTCCAAGGAACATTCAGAGTCTGACTCTTTGGAAAATGAAGACAAAGAGATTTTGGACACCTCCTTTGAAGACCTCTCTAAACGTAGGAGAAAGCCAGTGGAAGGTCAGCAGGCTGTAGTGCTGCAACCCCTTAAAATAAAGAAACTGATTCCAAACCCTAATAAAAAGAGGAAACCACCCAAAAGTAAAAAAATGACTTCAAAGTAATCTTGTGTAAACTTGTCACTTCATACAATTGGAAAATGACACCTTGTAAAAAAAAAACCTTGAATAAATTGTTACTTTTACATAGATTCACGGAAGATTGGTAATGTTCCTTTCAAATGTGTAAGACTTTTTAGCACAGAGATGCTGAAGCTTAAAAACACTTAAATGCAGAAAATAGGAGTATGCATATCAAAAGTTTATTGCAACCAGTTTCTACGCTTGTGTAAATTCACTTTTTAAAAGGCAGCCACAGTGCTTGTGAACCAGAACATCTTTCTTTCAAACTTGGAAAATGTACCACAGTAAACATGATTATAGTTAGTAGGGTAGATGAAACTGGATTGCAGATATGTCATCAGTTTAAAGAAAAGATAGTAAATGCCAAGTAATGCCAAATTGTCTTTAGAAATAATACATCAGTTTTTATTTCCTGCCTGTTTGACTTTCTTTGGGTGGGTATATTGCATGGGCCTGAGAGAAAGGCTTGATAATTACCGAAGAAGACAGTTAAGGTTTGACGGGTTAGAATTCACCCTTTTACATGGTTAACATTTCCTTAGAAATTTAACATGTATAAAAAGTGTGACGGTAAGCCCTGGCTGGTGTAGCTCAGTGGATTGAGCACAGGCCTCCGAACCAGAGAATCGCGGTTCAATTCCCAGTCAGGGCACATGCCTGGGTTGCAAGCCAGTTCCCTGACACACGAGAAGCAACCATACATTGGTGTTTCTCTCCCTCTCTCCTAAATAAATATTTTTTTAAAAAAGTGTGATGGTGATCAGATGAAATGAGGCAGGAACAGAATTCAAAAACTGAAGAGCTTGGATTCTCAGAGGTGGGTCTGCAATGATGGGTGCCCCCCATGTTGGGAAATGGGTATAGTTAACACTGTGGTGATGTTACAGTGGCTGCTACTCACAGTGTGTTTGGAAAAGTTACTTTCTCTAATTTAGGGGAAAGGCTGGCCAAGTTTATTTTCAGCTTAAATTCTGGCTGACACTTGGATTATGCTGCTTCCACTCATTTAAATTTTACTGAATGCCATCCTGGCCCCTTCCCCCCCCCCCCAGAAGAAACAAAACACTTATGAAATAGAGCATTTCCATTTTTGAAAAAAGGATGCAGGGCGAAGACAAATGCAGTTTTTTAAAATATATGAAACACTGCATGTTACACTGAAATTTAGTTCTAGTAGCTCTTTAAAAAACAACCAGTTTTACTGATTATTTTAAAATGTTTATTAATAACCTTAAATTACAGAGGCAACTGCTATTTTTAAATGAGAAAAAAAATAGGACTTCTATAACAATTGGGATTTTATAAACGAATAAAGGAACAATGCCACAGTTTCATCATGAGGTAAGCTCGTGACAAGATTTCTGACTGGCAATTCGATTACTTGAAAACCTACTTCATATGACTTCCATAAAAAACTAAACATAAATCCCAACTGAGCCTTGACTCCAGATTAAATTAAAATTTCATTTAATGCTAGTTTCTTTAAAAAGTTTGAGTGAATTGGTTCAGTTTTCCTTCTTGAAGTTTTCATCTTCTATTAAGAAATATAGTTATACCATTGGGTTGAATCATCCTGAGAGGAGTCTTTCCCAGCTAAGAAAGTACATGGTGCTGTCCTAAGTGGCACTGGTACATGTGCGCCCTCTACTGGTAGCCTCAGGGATAGCACAATCCTTGGGTTGGTTTTTAGGGTAATGAATGGCAGGCTGCAGAAAGTGGCTTTTGGCTTATTAGTGTAAATCAGGATCAACAAAATTTTTTTGTAAGGGTCAGACAGCAAATATGTTAGGCCTTTTGGTCTAAATTGAAACAACTCTGCCTTTTGTAGCATGAAGCAGCCACTGGCAGTGGATAAATGAAGGAGTGTGGCTGTGTTCCAGTAAAACTTTATTCATTCATGGATGCTGAAATTTGAATTTCATACAATTTTAACATGTTACAAAATGTTATTTCCCCCCAACAACTCAAAAACTAAAAGCCATCCTTAGCTTGTGGGTTGCACAAAACAGGTGATGGGCTGGATTTAGCTGCTAGCTGGATTTAGTTTGCTAGCTCTTGCCTGTTATAAGACGTGACCGGTTTTACTTAACTATTCATAACATGAAGGAAAAGGCATAATGTCTGAAACAATTACATTTTTCTGGATTAAACAGCCTAGGCACTGGAAGAGGGAAGTCAGGAAGAAGTATCTACTTTGTGATATTTGAGTCAAGGCCAGTCTATGTGGCCTCATTTAGCATCTTTTCCCCCTTGGACTATTGACAATATATGTATATATGTACACTGTGAAACTTGGTTTTTCAATTCTGGATAAAAACACCATCAGTAACAAAATTATGAATACTTATTTACAAATAAGACATTTTCCATTAGCATGACAGCTTTCATGATAAATTAAAGTCAGCATAAAGGAATATGTGCAATTTTGCATAAGTAATAAAAACATTCAAACTACCAATATCCTGATAGCACTAATAAAATCCACTAGGCATTTCCTTTGACTTTAGCGCTTCCATTTCTCACCTATCCTTGCCGTGGCTGAGAGGAAATGAATTTGTGCAGCAGCAGAAGTCTAATCAGTTACGGTGCACATACTTTCAGAGAACACAGTTCATGTTTGCACAAAACTTTGTTTCTGAACTAATCCACTGACATGTTGAAAATTAAAATACAAATTTATGTGTCTATTGATTTGGGAACTTTGCTTCTGGAGAAATAAGTGTACTAGTCACCAGTACATTTTTATCTTGCTCTACAAGTAAACATCCACCACTCATCACTGAGTTATGGAAGTGCTGATTTCAGAACTCTTCCCAATGATAGCGTGGAAGGTGATACAAGGACAAATTTCTCAAATGGATCCTTTATTCTGTTACACAGACAGACCACCACTTGATAAAAAGAAATGCAGCAGTTTATCTCCACACCTTAGCAAAGATTTTCTTATATGAGTCTGTGACTTCTGTTCCAACTATTAAAAGGGTCTCTTTCTAGAGAATGGAAAAACAGCTTCTCTTCATCAAGAGACAGCTGAAAGTTTGAAAATTAAAGGAATGTGCTCTTTGTACCCTTTCATCCCTCCTTCAAATGGGCAAGCCATGGAAAAAAAGGAAGAATGTTAACATTCTAGTTGGAAATACATAGTACTGCTTATGTATGGATGCTTTTTCATCTTCTCCAATTGTTACCGACTACATCGATTTCACTGAGGTTGTGCTTTTATTCTTCTTTGGAAAGAAGTTCCAGGAATCATTAAGTAGAATATTAACAAATGATGGTGTCAGAGTGTCAGAGTTCTAGAAATGGAAATATTCACCTATTGTAATACAAGTCCAACCTAAAGGGAGGGAAGAAATGGAATAGTAAGAACAGGTAAGCAAGAGGAATTAAATTATAATGTGGTACGATAGATCTGTATTTTTAAAAAGCTACTAAAAAACTTCACAATCCTAAGGGCAGTATGGAATTTCCTAAGTAAATTTATTAAGTTTACAAAGGGTATATCAACTTCTCTTACCTTTTCAGAATCTGTTCCTGGACACCTCCAATTGTACAAGTAATACTGTAAATTGCCATCTCCTATACCAAACTTGAGCTTTTCCAAGAATGTCTTATTTTCCATCAAATCTAGTGCATTGAATACATCAAATCCTTTCTGCCAATGTAAAAAGGATTTAAAATTGAAAATTTGAAAAGACTAGAGTGTTTTCTGTATTATGTACTTCAGGGTAACATTGAATTCTTCTAATAACCTGAATATGCATTTATAATAAGATTCAGTGTCTCTCACATATGGGTTAAGAATTCAGTTCAAAACTGTCTCATACAACTAGCAGTGAATCTGATGGAGTCAGCAAGATTGTTCAGAAATGCTGAATCAAAATGCAGTGCACTGCTAACAATGACATAACAAAATCTATGAAGAGTTCCGAAAATATTCTCTTCCTGTTTTAAAAGGAACTGTTGCCTAGATGTTTCCATCTCCAGAGCTATTAGTTACTAGTCTTTCTAAATTCTGACTTATCTTAAGTTACAGCCAAGAAACCAAAGCTGTAAAACCTTTAAATAGTATATTTGTCTTTGGCTGATAGTGGGAAATAAATTTAGTGAAATTTAATAGTAAAAATCTAATGCCTTTAAAATGTTAGATAATACTATGCAAAGTAATATATTGAGTTGGCCAAAAAAGTCCTTTTTTTTTGGTAAAATGAAAGACACACTTTTTTTTTCACCAATAACTTCATTGATTTTGATATTTTGAGAATGCTGGCTGTCTCCTGTGTGGTAGAACAATGATTTCTCTCAATGTCTCGATTTGATCACATCAACTTCAACTGGTCTGACTGTGGAGCCTTGTCCCGTGAGAAATCTCCAGCATGAAACTTCACAAACCACTTCTGACACATTCGATCAGTCACAGCACCTTCTCTATACACTGCACAAAACATTTTTTTTATTTTAGTTGTGTTTTAACCTTTCTTGAAATAATAAGGCATAAAAAGGTTGAAAATGTTCATATTTATCCATATTAAGTATTAAGATGGACACACAAAAATTTGCCAATTTTGAAAAGTTTTCTTTTTAAATGCGTGCTGATATGACAGCTGTAACAAAAAAGATTAACAAAATTGTTTCAAATGAAATTAAAGACAACTAGGGCTACTAGAGCCATCTTACAGAAAAAAAACCAAATCAACTTTCTGGCCAACCCATTAGATGAAGCACCTAAATTTCTATTTCTCAAGCTTTTTACCTTAAATAATTTATAGGACTTTATTGGGAAGTAGTTGAAAATGAGTAGTAGGATCAAAGAATCAGGATAATGTTGATTATAGGATCCACTAGTTAATTAAATTTTTTTTTTAAAAAATCAATGATCAAGTACTAGATAAATGAAAGGAAGACACTTTTGATGTGGTTTTCCCAATTTCTCATGAATGATATTTTCTCATATTTAGTAAAGTGCATCTGTTTACTGATTTCAATTTATTTTTCAAAGAAAATGTTTATTTGTAGCAAGAATTTAACAATTATCCTAACTACTACACCAAAGAAATAAAAAATAATATAAATATAGTAAGGCATATTATGAACTTAATTCCTTTTAAATTATTTTAATTTGACCAGTAATCCCCTTAATTTTAAAAATACAATCCTTTATTTTTACAATTCAGAGGCCATTTATTTAAATCAGAAATCTTACTGTTGCTAATTATTGACTGTAAAACAAACACTCATGTATTTTCCTTATGTCATGGGGTCATATATTCCTTATGGGTTTTATATATTTTTATGTAAGTGTTTAAATTATCTACTTTATACAAAATGTCTTTTTGGTTAAGTTGTAATAGAATTAATGATGAAAAGAGCCACTAAATTCTTCTTTTGACTGATGGTGGAAAGTAAACAAACAAAAAACTCAAATGATTCCTTCCTGTGTACAAGAAAATACAGTGATGCTTTATATACTTTGACACGCATACTTGCAAAAATACATAGGACAAAAAGCAGTGAATCACTTACCAATTTAGCTATAATGAGCGCATCGTTCATGAGGTCTAGCAGGGGCGTCTCTGTGTGAATGTTGTAGAAGGAGTAGGCAGCTTTGAGGCTCTTGTGAGCAGGGTGGTGCATGACTGTGGAGGGGAGTGTGTAGAAGCTCAGGAAGTCAGTAAGTTTACCACTGGAGTTCTAAAGAACAAAGGGAACATCAGGTAAATACCCCCTAGAAGAAATTTTATCCATGCATTTAAGCTCACTTTTTGACTTACACCATAACTTTCTGTTAGAACAAAAAAAGCAACAATTCATACTCCTCCCTCGGCAGTCTGATTTGGAGGCCTGTAGGGCATGCTATGAGGATGCTGAGAAGGGCATGGCGTTGCGACCTTAGGCTAAGTGCTAGTTTGTGATTTGAATAAAGATGTTGATCAGCAGAAGGTTTAAAAGGAAAGCTTCCAGTGGGATGACTAATGAGTCTCTCTGGACTTATGGAAAAGTGATCAGAGTAGAATCATTGTTTTTGCAGAAATAAGAGAGAGCTAAGGATTTGAAGGCTGCCTTTTCCAAGTAACAGACACTACATAATGGTTCACATCATCTTGGCACAAAGTGAGAATTTTATTAGCTTAAAGCAAAGTTTGATACAGTTTGAAGCTGTTTTTAGAAGCTTGCAAAAGGCACTGGTACTTCACCAAAATATACATATGTGAGTAACTGAGAAAATCCAATGCTATCAAAAATCAGAAGGGATGCAAAAAGTGGTATTGATTTCATTATCTCTGGTACACTTTTCAATACAACAGATTAGCCAGTATTATTGGGCTGTTTTGGCCTGCACAGGTTGCATATAATTCAAACATATCACAGTTTGAATTATACAGCTGAGGCAGCTAGTCCAAATGCATGCTATTGTTACTGTTTCTTTCAGCAGAAAACACAATTCCATAGGGATGGATGACTGGCTTTTGAGTGTTTCTGACTCATTAAAACATCCTTTAGACATTAAATTAGAGACATTAAGCTAAAGTGATTGTTTATTGCACAAGTGGCAAACACAAAGCCAGGGGGCTGAATCCGGTCCTCCACCTTGTTTTATCTGACTGGCACCTTGTTTCTACCTGGCAGCAGCGCTGAGCTCCTTGCCCCTAGTTAAGGAGCAGTTACATTTCTACAGTCCTAAAGTTACATTCAGCCCTTTGTAGGCAACCAGGAGGCTGATGTGGCCCCTGGTGAAAATAAGTTTGACACCCCTGGTATATTGTCTTGTATTAGCAGCTCAGTATTAGAGATGAGTGAAAAACCTACCTTTCAGCATTAATAAAGATTTTTAAATTAAAAAATAATACAACAAATTAAAAAACTCACTGGATGGGCTTAATAATAGAGTGGAGATGACAGAAGACAGAATCACTGAACTTGAAGAATTCAGTAGAATTTACCCAATCTGAACAAAAAAAGAGAAAACAGACTGAAAAAAATATGAATGAAGTCTCAGGGATCTCTGGGACAGTAACAAAAGAGCCAACACTTATTGTCACTGGAGTCCCAGGAAGAAAAGGAATGTGTGGAGCTGAAAGAGTATTTGAAGAAATAATGGCTGACAATGTCCCAAATTTGACAAAATACATACAACGGGTTCAAGAAGCTGAGTGAGTCTTAACAAGATAAGTGCAAATAAATCCACTCCAAGGTGCATCATAGTTGAACTTCCAAAAAGACAAAAGAAAAATCTCAGAAGTAGCCATAGAGAAATAATGCACTACCTATAGAATACCAATTCAACTGACAGAAGATTTTGCAACTGAAATCATGGAAGCCAGATGAACTGACATTAATTTTTAAGTGCTGAAAGAAAAGAACCATTAACCATAAATTCTGTATCTGGTGAAACTATCCTTCAGGAATGAAGGATAAATAAGGACATTTCAGACAAATGATAACTAGAAGAATTTGATGCTAGTAAACATACCTCTAATATTGGCCAAAGGAAATTCTTCAAATAGAAAGTAAATAATAAGGAATCTCGGTGCATCAAGAAGGAAGAACAAACAACAGAAATAGCAGAGCCCTGACCAGTGTGGCTCAGTTGGTGGGGTGGCATCCCGTAAAGCAAAAGGCTGCCAGTTCTACTCCTGTTCAGGGCACATATTTAGGCTGCAGGTTTGGTACCCAGTTGGGGCATGCACCAGAAGCAACTGATCAATGTTTCTCTCTCACATCAATGTTTCTCTCCCTTCCTTTTCCCCTCCCTTCGCCTCTCTGAAAGAAAGAAGAAACGAAAGGAAAAAAAGAAATACCAGAAATTTTGTTTACAGTTGACCTTTGGACAACGTGGGATTTAGGGACGCCAATTCCCTGGGCAGTTGAAAATCTGCATGTAACTTTTGACTCCCCCGAAACTTAACTACTAATAGCCTATTGTTGACTGAAAGCCTTATTAATGACAGAGTCAGTTATATATTTTGTATGTTATATCCTATATCCTTATAAATTTTAAGTATTATATCCTATATCCTTACAATGAAGTCAGCTAGAAAAAAGAAAATGCTATTAAAATCATTAAAAATACATTTATAGTACTGTATGTATGTATTGAAAAAAATCTGCATGTAAGTGGGCCCACACACTTCAAACCTGTGTTGTTCAAGGGTCAGATGTATACTACAAATTATGCTTCAACTCTTAAGTTTTACAAATTTACTTTATGATGGAAACAAAAACTGTAACACCATCTGATACTCAAGACCCTGATATTTAAAAGTTGAGAATGTAGAGGGACCTTAATGGAAATGAAGTCACTGGAAGTGGTAAAATGTTGGTGATACCAGCAGACTCTGAGCAGTCCCACGTATGTATGTAATATACCCATCATGAAAACTATACAAATACACTGCGTGTGCTAAAAGTAAATCAAGACAATCCTAAAAAATTCTTCAAATAATGCACAGGAAGGCAAGGAAAAAGAAACAGAGTAACAATACCAGAGGGATCACCTAGAAACAAATAATAAAATGGCAGAGTTAAGCTCTAACACATTAATAATCAAATGTAAATGGTCTAAATATACCAATCGAAAAAAGACTGGTAGCCCTGATAGGATGGGTCAGTTGGTTGGAGCATCATTCCATACACCAAAAAGGCTGCAGTTTCAATCCCCGATCAGGGCATATACCTCGGTTGCAGGTTCGATCCCTGGTAGGGGCGTGTATGGGAGGCATCCAGTCAAGGTTTCTCTTTCACATCCATATCTGTCTGCCTGTCTGTCTCTGTCTCCCTTCCTCTCTGAAGTCAATAAACATATCCACAGTGATGGTTAAAAAAACAAAGACTGGCAGAGTGGATAAAGAAACATGGCCCAACTACATGCTGTTTGTAAGAAACTCGTTTCAAACTCAATGACATGGATAGATTGGAAGTAAAAGGACTATAAAAAGATGTATGCAAACATTAATGTTTAAAAGTAGGAATGGCTATATTAGTATCCAATAAAATGAAGAGCAAAGAAATTACTAGAGACCAAGAGGGATATTATATGATGATAAAAAGATTGATCCACTAAGTAGACATAAAGGTCTGAAAGGTGTAAGTACCAAAAAGACCTCTGAATACATCAAGAAAAACTGACAGAGCTGCAAGGAGAAACACACAATACACGATTGTAGTTGGGAACTTTTACACCTCTTTCATCAAATAGAACTACTAGAAAGAAAATCAGTAAGAATATTTAAAATCTGAACATAATCAACAGAATCTAACTGGCATATATGGAACATTCCACCTAAAAGCAGCAGAATATACATTTCATTAGCACATGGAACATATTAGGTCCATAAACCAAATGGGCCTAAAAGAAACCTCAAGAAGCCCAAGAGAATAGAAATCATACAGCCAATTTTCTCCAACCATAATGGAATAAAACTAGAAATCAACTGGAATTCCCTAAGCACATCAAAATTGAACAATGGAATTTAAGTAATCCATGAGTCAAAGAGTCTCAAAGGAAATTTAAAAATAGACAGATGTGAACAAAAATGAAAATAGAAGATACCAAAATATGTAGGATTAAGGGATTAAGTTAAAGCAGTACAGAGAGGGACACTCACAGAAATAAATGCTTAGATCGTATTAGGGGAAGGTCTGAATAATCTAGTCTCTCCCTCAAGGTATGAGGAGAAGAGGGAAACCGCCCCCCTCAAAATCCAAAGCATGTAGAAGAAAATAATCAAAGAATCAGAAACCAATGACACTGAAAATAGGAAAATAATAGAGAAAATCGATAAAACAAAAGCCTGCTTCTTGGAAAAAATATCAGTAAAATCGACCGAATGCTAGTAAGACTAATAAAAATAAAGAAAAACTATAAAGCATCAACAGAAAGAATGAAATAAGAATTACCACTATAGATCTGGCAGCCATTAAAATAATAACAAAAGACTAGTATGAATAAGTTTACTCTAATTTGACACTTTTGAAGAAATGGACCAATTCTTCAAGAACCGCCAACTATTAAAACTCAATCAAGATGAAACAGATTATCTGAATAGTCCTTATTTTAACAAAACACACTCCCTAAGGTTAGATGGTTTTAGCTGGAGAATTCTAGCAAAAGCATTTAAGGAAATATCATCAATTCTACACAATCTCTTCTTGAAAACATAAGAGGAGGCAATACTTCCTAGCTCATCTTATTAGGCCAGTATTATCCTGATGCCTAAACCACATAACCAGAGTAGCAAAAAACAAACAAACAACCCTCAAAACCCCAGTAGACCAACTATCTCTCATGAACTCAAAAAATACTCAATAAAATATCAATAATCCAAATTCAAAAATGTATAGAAAGTACTATACACCATAATCAAGTGAATTTTTTTCTAGTAATGTAAGGGTGGGCAAAAATTTGAAAATCAATCAATGTAATATATCAACAGACTAAAGAAGAAAACTCATGATCATAGCAATTGAAGAGTGAAATGCACTGGAGAAAATTCAACACCCATTCATGATAAGAGCTCTCAGGAAGTTAGGAGTAGAGGGGGATAATTGCAAACTGGTAAGGTGCATCAACAAAAATTCTACAGCTAACATCATACCGAATGGTGGAAGTCTGAATGCTTTCTGCCTAATATGAAGATCAAGGCAAGGGTGTCAACCTTCACCACTCTTATTCAACAAAGTATTGGAAGACC